TTTACTTACAAATAAATTTATAGAACTTTTGGCCACTGTTACATGGACCAATAGTTGACTTTTCCCTATTAGTCCTGGCATTAATTTCACACCATTTTCTGGTTATCCCCCATATAAGCTCCAAATTAGCCGTGTCTACAGTTATTGCCTGAGTATCCAGGGGCAGCTGAGGAGAATATATCTGGAGGAGCAAATGGAAAAGATCTAGCACCATGGGTACCAAGTAGGTAAAAAAAATAATTACCATAGACTGATATAGAATGCAGAGGGGAGCACCCCAGGCAAAGGGAGCAGCATGTACTAAGGCCCTGTGGCAGAAGAGAGCACAGAACCCTCCAAGAAGGTCTGTGTCAAGCCAGAAGATTGCCTCAGCTAGTCAGAAGATGACCCAAGGGACATGTTCAGATCATAGTCAAGAAGGAAGGGCAGAGATCATGAAGAGAGACAGTGTATAAAGTGTCAGGTCTGTGAGGTGACTTGAAGGCCAGGAAATAAGAAATAGACTGGGAAGCAGCAGATAAGGTTGGGTGAAACAGTTCAGAATACAAGTCTTGAATACACCAAGGGCATTCTAAGAATATCCTCTTTGGTGCTAGCTTTGCAGTGCAAGAACACTACCAGAATCTAAATGGCTGGCAAAAGTCATAAGCCTTTTCCAGAGCTATTTCAAGGTGATGTTGAAATTAAGAGACTGCCATATTGAGTCACCCTATTCAGTCACTTAGTCAAAAAATATTTATTAATGATTTTTATGTTTTCTACTGCTGTAGGTGCTGAGAGATAAATGATGAAATTCTTGTCTTTGAGGAACTCCTAGGTTAAGCAGGGAAGATAAACATGTAGAGAAATACTTGCAATATCCTGTAATATGTGCTATTAGAGAGTCAGAGAGCCCAACCTAGACTGCCTTACTGGGGAAGTCAGTGAGATGTGATACCTGAGCTGGGTCTTGAGTTCACCAGGTAGAAAAATGAGAGGAGGGACTTCACCCAAGGGAAGTATATTGGTCAGTATATGCCAACTACTAAAACATAATAGAATTTACTTTTTTGTTCTTGCCGTGACCAATGTGGTCTGTGTGGCTCTTCCCAAAGTGGTGACCCAGGGATTCAGGCTCTTTTCAAGTCTTAATAGGTGGCTTCCAATGCCACTGCATAAGAAGCAGAGAGTATAGGGAAGTTACCCTAGGCCCTTAAACACCTTGGCCCAGAAGTAACACCCATCAGTTCCCCTCACATTCTATTGGCCAGAACTAGCCACACGGCCATATGTAGATTCAAGGTGGTGGGGACATGTAGTCCTGGCTGGGCAGCTGCTTCCCAACAACTCTACTCTAAAAGATTATGAACCTTTGGTAGGCTGTCAATTGCTTCTATCACAGGAGATTGTATATGAGAGAGCCTAGATTCAGGGAAAGGTTCGCAGTTGCTAAACCTAGGCTGTGTGGGGAAGAACGAACAGAAAGATTACAGAAAAAGAGGCCAGAAAAGTCAGTTATTGGGTTGCTCAGGTCCAGGGATGACACATCAAAGAAACCAGACCTTCTCTTCCAGCTGCATGGAAGCAGCTGCATTGGAGGTGTTTATTCAAAGTGTGATATGATCAGATTTACAGCTCTTCACAGTCCACCCTTTCCTCTCATGTTTTGCTACAAAGACTGAGCCATGATGGTGCGTATCACTGAGCACTGGACTCTCATTCCAACTCTGCCGCTTACTAGTCATGTTACCTTGGGCTGGAAATATTCTTTCTAAGCCTCAGTTTCCTTATCAATAAAATGGGAACAAAACTATGTGCTCTCTCCATCACAGAGAGGAATGAGGATCAAATAGATAGTGTCAGAGGAACTTCCTCTGGAAACTGGAAACTCCTTTACAGATACAAAGGAATTTTTTTTTAAATATTTTATTGGGGAATTGGGGAAGGGGAGCAGCCAAGTTGTGTCCTTCCATCTTAGTTGTGGAGGGCGCAGCTAGCTCAGCTCCAAGTCCAGTCGCCAACTGGCTGCCAGTCGGCAGCTCACGGCCATTCAGCTCAAGGTGCTGTGTTCAATCTTAGTTGTGGGCGTGGGGGGGGACGTAGCCCACTATCCCATGTGAGATTTGAACCAGCAACCTTGTTGTTAGGAGCACGTGCTCTCACCAGCTGAGCCATCCTGTCACCTATTGACAGCTCAGCTGCAGCTTAGCTCAGGCGCAGTTCACTGGCCCATGTGGGAATCAAACAGGCAACCCTGTTGCTCAGAGCTCACGCTCTTAACCAACTGAGCCATTCGGTTGGCTCGATACAAGGGGATTTGATTACTCTCTTTTGTCTCTGCCTAAGGGGAGTTATCTTTCCCTAGGACAAGAAAGTATAACTTAATGTCTGCCAAGATCCTCAGACTTACCCAGTTTCCTGATGATCTACCAATGGTAGAATAAAAAAATGGGCTCAATATAATGTTCCATGAGGACAAGAAAATATGATTAGAGGTAGCCTACTTCAAGGCTTCCCGAAGTGACATATAAGAAAGAAAGTGTAACACTGTTCTAATGTCCTTTCTTCTCCCAGTCTTGGAAACCCCAGCTGGAAAGGACTGAGGAAGTATATTTCCATTGAAGCCTAAATATTTGTTTTGACTATTGATTTTTAGCCAGAGAATTTATTCTCAGCCCTCCACCGCTTTGTTTCTATCAGTGCATGGCTTACATAGAGAAGGCAAAATGTCCTTCTCACTCCTCACCATCTTCAACCAGCCCCAGACTGAACATTCACTTGTTAACTTTTTAAATATACACACAAGTGGGAAGTAGATGGCATTATTTGGATAATACTCACAAAAGATCAGATTCTTTTTCAAGACCTATGCTTTGTTTTGAAATAGACAAATAAATAAGGTTATTTTGGCTTGAAATTAAGCATCAGCATAAGGTATTTGAAAAATTGCCTCAGTTTGTAATTTTTCACCTCTTTACATATGGTCTGGGTCTACCAAACCTTATCTTCCTACCATGGACTAATTTGGCAAAAGTTGAACAACATCAGGTTCCCTCCCATCTCTGTCTCTTTTTTCTTTCTTCCCATCCCTTTTCTCCTCTGTCTCTCTCCTAGTGGTTAAACATTTCTTTGGATATTAGTTTGTACAATCAAGAGAACTGAAAAACGCTGCTCTAAGATGTGCCTCATGACACTCTAATAAAAACTCTAATAAAAGAGACAAAGGGCTACATTCACCCATTTCTAGGGCGCCTGTCACCAGAGCAAGCAGGTGCAATTTCCATTGTCTCTTAATTTTGTATCCATGTTTTTTGTGTTAAGCATGGAATCTAAGGTGTTATGCTTTTAATTGATGAAACTCTGGAAAGGATTTTCTGGATGCAGTGCCCCTTTTTTTTGAGGGGGGTGTGTGTGTCATGGATTGTATTCTCTAACTTAACAGCCTCCAACTCTCTAAACAGTAGTCATGGTGTTCTTGCAATGGATTGGGGTCATGTGAAGATGATGTACTTCCTAGGGAGGGTGAGAAGAAGTGAATATTGGTATTTCTAAAAGTATAGACAGCCTGACAGCTAATTTTGGAGACTGGGTGACATTTTAAGTTGGTAATACTCCTAATTACCCAAGCCCTAGGAAGCCATATGGAATACAGCCACAGCTCCAGAATTAATATAAGTGAGCCCTGTGAACCCATTACTAACAGCGTGTTCCCTTAGAAAAATGGCACAGTATCCGTGTCAGCACAGTGTGACATTGCAATTAACACACACGCATGCACAACCTCTTGATATTTCCTAATTTTTGGAAAGT